AAACCCGCATGGGGTCTCACACCAAACCAAAGAGTGTATCCGTCTCGCATGGTAACCGTGTGTACCTAAGCTAGGTATTTATCGGTCGAGTAGCGGCCAGTCGATATATCGGCCGGGACTCTCCAACTGTAAATCTTAGATAACAGATAAAAAGTTAGATAGTTAGATGGTTTGTTTACAACCATTTTGCAACTAAAACTTGAATGATACGATCACTACAAAATCATAAATTAAAAAAATACAATAAAAGAACTACTAGTGGTTTAAAACAAATCAATGTAAAAATCTGTTTGTACATATGTTATGTGTGTAAATAAAATATGTCGAAGAAATATAAAAGTCTAGTAAAATATTTCAGGCCTTATCAAGGGTATTGAAGGTGATAAAACTGATACGAGATCTGTTTGTCTTAAAGACGAGCCAGAATTTCCGTATGTTTCAAAGTACATGTGTCACGAGTAGCAAGAAGGTCATGGAGCTTGTTCTGTTCGTTCTGAATTAGTTTCCCAACAGTTTATCAACTAGTTCCTGATGGCGGTTTGAAAGTTTTATTTATGGTTTGATTCAGGCAATGCCTTGTTATACGAGCAAAAGGATGAGATGATGCGCATAGAACGCTTTTGTACTCGTTCAAGCTCGTTGGAGAGATACATGGGGAGACCGCCGTCATGAAAGACAACGGGACATGTATACTCTGTGATCGGACGAATGTAATTGCAGAAAAATTGAACTAACTCACGGGTACCAAGACCAGAGCGTTTAAGCTGAGATAAACTCTACATTCAAGGGCTTCTTGGCTATCCTGATAATAAAGTCAGTGTAGCAGTTCCATTCCAAATCTTTGGAGATGTTAAGGTCTAGCATGCATTTTAGCTATGTAATATCCGAATCGAATAACGTGGTGTTGTGAATGTTAAAGTTTATGCGGAGCTTACACAGCAAAACGTGTTTTGCATGAGCAAAAAGCTCTATCAATTTTTTGTTCTATGTGACTACTCCGCTTGCAAACTGTAAAATGGACTTGACAAAATCCTGCTGAGATCAAAAGCAGGCTGTGCGCTCAGCGAGCGCTTCCTTGTATCAAACGGAAATTTTCTTCATCCCCCAAAGGTGTTTTATGATGGATGTCGACGGTTTCAAGTATCAATCTTCCTGTTTGCCAACAACTTCCTCGGTTATATGTTACTAATTTCATAACATTCTTACACAATGATTATAATCGAAGCCGTTCAAGCGGAATCAGTCGAAAGTAGAAATCAGCTCGCAACCATGAAACTCGGCTCACTCATAATTACAGCGTTTCTTCTTGGTGTTCTGGGCTCTCTGGATAGTTTAAGGCAAACCCGTGCGTGTTCAGGTTAGTGTCAATCCACCTTAAATATTTTCCGCTATCATTCATGAGCGATATGAACGAGGTTGATTACATAACATGGCACGTACCACGACCGATCTACTGCTGTAATGTACAAAAATAACTTTCCCTATTCAGCTCCTTACCTCCTTGAAAAGGATGGAAACAAGAGAAAGATCATCAAAGTGACCAGCGGTGAGAATGTGAAACTCAGTTGCCCGATCAGAACCAGTGGTCAGAGCACAAAAATTCAGTATTTCTGGCACAAGAACTACAAGAGGTTCGCTTTTTTTCAGCGTGAAGTGGAGGGAAACCGCAAAATACCCCTCGAGATAAAAGGGGTAAAGAGAGAAGACAAAGGCTGGTACACCTGTGTTGCGGTGAACAACTGCGGACATAAAAGTTATAAAATGCTCCTCCTTGTCAAAGGTATGTAAGCCTTATGTTCTATGAAATATCAAAGGTTCAGTTGATTGGTGCACTAGAGTTACGCGTTACGGCCACTTCGTTATTACGGTTAGTTCACTCGTTTTTGATTCAGGGTTGCTTACTCCTTCCCTACTCCGTTAGTACACGTAGTACTCAATGGCAACTTTGTAAAGCTGGACTGTTCTGCCGAATTATATCTCCGTCCTACTGCGACGTGGAACAAAGACGGAAAATTGTTCAAGTATAGGAAAAGTGGCAAAATATTCCATCGGAGACGAAAGGCAACCGCGATAACTTTGAAGGACCTGATTCCGTCTGACACTGGGTCATACTCGTGTATTGTGAGCAACCGAAACGGATGGATTAACCGCGCATTCGAAGTAGATATGTAAGGTAATACAGAGAATACAGTAGAGATTGTAAAGTGCAATCTGTAAAGATTTACCTCTTACTAAGACAGCGCTGGGGCCTTACCGGGGTATAGTGCTCCGAGGTCGTGGCAGTACGGACCAAGTGCAGCGAGGTCTGTACAAAAAAAGTACTGTCCCACTAGTGCTTAAATAAGCATAGTTATAACCAATTATGATCGAGAATCTTGTCATGGTTTTCATGTGTGCTCATAATCCATTTAAGGTAAGGAGACCAGGATAAAATATCACCATAAAATCCATACTGTGGAATGCTTTTACAGTGGAACCCCTCTAAAGCGAACACCCTTGGAACTGGAGGAAATGTCCGGTTTAGAGGGGTGTCTGGTGTACTGAGGTTTTACCAATATAAGGCAATTTTATGCAGCATAACGTATTGTCTGACTTTAAGTACCAGTATATGGTACACGAGTACTAATAAAGCCCATCAGTAAAGGAAAAAAGAACATGGACCACAAGGAAGCTTTTCAACGCCATTTTATTTAATTTACAAAAAAATTCAGTGTTACTCAGAGGGTAATATGATCACCTAGAGTAGATTTACCGATACTAAATTTACCGCTTGGAGCCTTCAGTGTTGGTTTAGGTGCTGATTCCGCACATTTGATCAACTCAATTCTCTTCTCTAACGATAACTCGATTCTCTGGCGTTTCGCTGGTCTCTCAGACATAGTGATGTTTGCCACTTCGTTTGTTTTCGCAAGTGATTTCACCCGCAACATGACAGTCTATTAACCTGACCCCTATTGTTGTCATTCATTCAACCCAACAACAGCGGCACAACGGTCGACTTTAGATTTTTCAGTATTGGCAGAACAATGAGTAATTAGCCGATGCACGTTTCTCACTTCTGATTGGGATTTCACAGCTGCATGATCACAATTTTAATTTTAATCACGTTTAAAACGTGTGATTTGATTTTTGCGGCAAGCTTATTTAAAACTTTCACGTCCGGTTTAACGAGGTCAATTTCTTTGTCAGTATGGGCCCGGACGCACTGGGAAAATTGTTGTTTATTTTGGAAAAAATGTCATGTAACCTTTCCCGCGAATAGCATGCAAGCGATGGTGCTTATTTCCGTGTGATTGACACTTGTGGATAACAAATATTTTGTAATAGAATTATGTTAAGACTTCCTCTATATCTCTGAAAAAAAAAAGGAGGGGGGATTGGCGAAGGAGCTCTCAAAAACGGGAATTCTGGAATGTGGTGTTGTATGCATATAGATTGGTTACTGGCCAGATGGGTTGGGCTGTTTATAGAGTCAGTACTGAAATTCAGTGGCTGTTCTCTGCTCCTTAGCTGCTCCACAATTTAGAGTATCACAAGATGGTACAGGACAGAAAGCCATCGCAGTGATCATTGGCAACTCTGTAACCCTAGACTGTTCTGCCGATGGATATCCCCGTCCTACTACGACGTCGTACAAGGACGGAATATTGTTTAAGGAAAGGAAAAGTGGCAAAAAAATCCGTTGGAGAAGTGAGAGAACCGTGTTAAGATTGAAGGACCTGGTTCCGTCTGACACTGGGTCCGTCTGACACTGGGTCCGTCTGACACTGGGTCCGTCTGACACTGGGTCCGTCTGACACTGGGTCATACTCATGTAATGTGAGCAACCGATATGGATGGATTTACCGTACATTCAAAGTAGATGCTTATGGTAATACAAAGAATACAATAACTGTAGATATTAACTTCTTACTAAGAGAGCGTGAGGGCCGAACCAGGCTATAATGGGCCGAGGTCGTAGCTGTACAGACCAAGCCCAGCGAGTCTGTACGAAATTAAAGGAAACTGTTAATGAGTCGTGGATATACTACGTTTGAATAGGTTTTGAAGAAATTTAAATTACTTTTTATGAAAACATACACTTTATATCTAAACATAGGCAGCCAATGGGTACGTCTCCGATAGAGTTGAAACCACTAGTAATTACTTTAAATTGCTGGGGTGATGTTAGGTGAATAGTCAGAATTCACATCTATTTGATATTGATATCTATTGAGAAGGATCAAGAAAAACGGGAGAGAGGCTTGTTATCCCTGGATCATTCCTGGCTAAAAGAGACGACCTGCCAAGCGATCGCGAAACATTTTTAGACGATATCATTCTTTTGAAGAAACTGTGCACTCACTTGGACATAATAGTTAAGAGAATGAGAGGAACACTACTGCTTTTTTAATGAAGCTTTAAGCGAACAATTAAAAGAAGATGAACAACAGTTGATCTTAATGTACATGAAGTCTAACAATACCATCGCTGACGCAAAATAGTGATGCATAGCGCTTATTAGAGTAGGGGCATTTATCTGACATTCGCTCTGTTGCGTCTTTTTCTTTAGAGAAAATTCGCAGAGTTCCCCAGATATCAATCATTTGGGAACAGAGAGGAACCATTTATGCTGGGACCGATTTGCAGCTGTACTGCACTGTATTGTCTCTGAAAGATATCGAGACGAAATTCCGTTGGTATTTCAGCAACAGCTTTTTTCAAGATGAAGACAACCAAGGCACTTTAATCAACCGAACTTTGTTTAAAAGTCATCTGGAGACATCGCCCAATAGTGATAGTTCGCGGCTAAAATGGAAGTTAGTCCTGAATTTGAAAAACCTTTCTGTGGCTGATACGGGTTCATATTCATGTCAGGCTGAAAACTTTGCTGGAACTGATCAACGTGAGACCTATCTTAATGTCACAACAAGGCTCATTACACCATCTAAAGGTAAGAAGCGATTGAGCGAGCATGCTGGGGCAAAGGGATTACGTTACATTAGAAAACTACTCGAAGATTCTCTTTTAAAAGAGTTAGGAAACGACAGGGAATGGATTGGCTCAACTGAAGTATCAATATTGAGTGGCAGATACGGTATATCCAAACGGTTCTTGCCATGCAGTCCCTGCATAGTCGGTTGTGTAACTGGAGCATTATCATTTCAGGGATGTGAAATCTCTAATACAGGAGTTATGGGATATCCAAAAAATCGGAGTCAACGGAATTCGGGAAACAGGGTACCTGCACTTTTCTTAATGGAACCTCAGAACTATTTCTATATTTACAGTTTGCTAGGTAGTAAGTACAATGCATATCACTGCTTGTAAAATGCGTTCAGTACCGGGACCATCGCAGTATTGTGATCTTATTGAGTGAGAAGGGGAAATTCTCTTAAAATACTTCCTATTATTTCATTAAGAACCGTCGATATGAAATCTGTTTATGTTACCAGTGCTGGTCTTGGCTTAATTGTTTCCCCAAATTTTCAGCCCCATCCAGTTGCGACCTTAGCGGAACAGTGTGTGGTTTTACCCAGGACAGCACCCACGACAAGATCGAGGAGTCATATTCGACACGTGACCCTAGGGGCACTCTTTCTACTGAAAAAGAATACCTTTTCGATCCCACTGGAAATGGTAAATAATGCGTTTTCAAATAACCAAATGTTTAAGCTCCTGGAAACTATATGTGCGTCAAGCATTAACCGTGCTACAACTCCCCCCCTCCCCCGAGAAATGTGAGGGACATGCTCCTATTTACAATTCCTTACGGACTAACGTTTTTATCTCTCATGTTAAAAACCTGCTGTTTATGAGGAATTCGAAGTAAGCCCATCTCCAAGCACTCAGTTTTATCGTTAATTTTTCTGTCAAGTTTATCTTGACTTGTATTGTTCAAGATTTCTTTGACGATAAGATATGATAATTTTGTAACGTATTGTCATTCATCAGGTAAGAAGACTTATGATGCTCTCGTCCCTGGAATCGTTTCAGCATCCGTGCTTATTACTGTAGCTGTTTTAATCGTTATCTACTGGCGACGTCACTCCCGAATCAAGAGATCCTTAAAACTTTCAATTTTACTGTCAAGTGAGTCCAACATATCATGTAGAGGTCGGCAGCTTTTTTTGAGGTTAATGATCTCTTTTTTTTTAACATCTTTTACTACACGACTCGGGCAGTCAGAGGGCCAATAACTAAAATCAACCAATCAAAATGCTCTATTGCCGGTGAATATGCTCTCAGTATTGGACCGGGCACTGTCCCGAATGGTCCCGAATAATACCGCACTTGTGTCCCTTTGAACTTNTAGGAGACGGGACCTTCATTTATTCGTCCCTATCCGAGAAGACTAGAATATCTAAGCATTTCTTTGATGTTATAGAAAGATAGCATATTCTTCTCAATTATTTTAAGACCTTGAGTGTTGGTCCGGCCGGGGCTTGAACCCTCGACCTCCCGCACAACAGTCCAGCGCTCTAACCAATTGAGCTAACCGGGAGGCGGTTTATAAGCTAGCCAGATAGTCCTCATGCTGGTATTGTTTTCAGTGAGTTTGATTCAAAATGTTGCTTTGATGATTTTTAAATCTGAGCCTCTAAGCTAATATTATATCCTTATTTTCTTCTTTCAGAACATAAATTTGAATACGATGCGTTCGTTATTTTCAGCTCCCAAGACTCGGAATGGGTGATTAAAACTCTAATTCCAACTCTTGAGGAAAAACACCATTTTAAATGTTGTGTACACTACAGAGATTTCGTTGTTGGAGTACCTTTTCGTGAAAATATGGTCAACAGTGTTTATAAGTCCAGAAAGACAATAGCTGTCATGTCTAAGAACTTTTTCAATAGCAATTATTGTGGTTCTGAGATGGAATATGCCCTTCATCGACTTATGGAAAGGAAAGACGACAGTGTAGTGGTCATCATAATTGATGACGTCGACAGAGGAAAACTTCCTAAGGAATTGCGAAAAAGGAGCTATATAGACTATCAAAAGAATGTTGAAAAGGATCACTGGGAAAGAAAACTGGTTAACTGTTTAAAGATCCCAAACAATCAGCCAGAGGAACAGATTTTGTAAGAATCTTTCTTTGTCTATACGGTCACTTACTCGGAACGTTGGCGCTATATAAGTAAATAAGTGACATTTTTTTACTGTTGCTGAATTAATTTGCCTATTATTTTCTTTTCAACTCCTTGTTCTTTCAAGCGAAACATCGGTTGGGCTTCTCAGAATCATGTAATTTTGGTATCTAATGTGTAAAAAGTTTAACAATCATTTTAAGTTTTATGAACCAGTCTTGTAGAAAACTTGAAGAATCTCGTATTGTAACAAGAGAGGATGATTGTAACGAATTTGTATCGGGACTAGGAAGGAAATGAATCTTTTTAATCATGTACCAACCGTTTGTTAAGTGAATTTCATAGGATCTTGTGAAACCCTTTACGAAGTATGTATGTATGTATGTATGTATGTATGTATGTATGTATGTATGTAAATCTTTATTTAAACACGGAAAATCATCAGTTACATAATAAAAACTAAGATTAATCAACTGCTTTACATGATTGCCGTGTGGGAATCCTATATATCGACTACGTTAAGATTTCGCCTAAAATGGTTAATGGATGAAGCATTTTTTAAGTTTTTGGGCAATTTATTCCATAACATGGCTCCGCTGTAAGAGAAGCTTCGTTTCAAATAATTGGT